TTCCCTTTGAGACATCCTTGATTCAATCATGTGCTTATTGTGTCTGCTCAAAGGTGAGGAAACCCAATCTGTAAATACAATAAAAGGGAAACAACTGAATTGGAGTCTGTTGTGGTGGTGTTATTAGTGTGCCTGGGGCGGCTGTACGTTCTTTCTCATTTCAGTCTTTTCCCAAGATGCCTTGGTGATGGGGATGCACCTATCATACATGTTTCATGGTCACCAGGGATGCAGGGATAGGACAGGTTGGCACGGTAACCTACTTTATGGTGCGTGAGGGATGGGAGGAAGGTGTTTGGGTGGAGGATGGATCAGTGGTTGCCCAGGCAGCATGCTGTCATGTGACTTGCCAACCTTTGACCTGGCTGCCTGAAGGATTTATTCACTGTGCTGCAATACACTACTCTATCTGTCACAGGCAGCAGTAGAAAACAGGCCACTTCAGGACACATGCTCCTCAAGTACCAAACGGCTAGCATGGCAGCTGCAGGCCTACAAATCCTGAGGCCCAGTCTTTAATTTGAGACTCACAATCTCCCTCTGTCCTGCATCTCCACATTCAAGTGATAATTCAACATGATCTAATTTATGCACTTTCCCCTTATCCATCAAAAAGTTCAACACCAAATTGTGCACATTACCACTAATTAATTGTGCATTTGTGAGATGCAAGGTTTACAGCTGCTGTGAAATAATGGAGCTCTCAACAAGCTTGAAACAAAAGAGAATATTGGCGGTGTTAATAAATTAAAGGGCCCAAACTGGATTTTCCTCTTTTTATTGATATAAAAGTGTCTGATGTTTTAGTAGACATTGTTAAAGTTTTAAAATGTACCACGTGGAAAATATATGGCCTGTTGTGATTTCATTGTTTTTGTGATATCATAAAATCTTAATTATTTACATATATCCACCTATTCAGCACACAGCACTTTAGCCCCACTTATTTACTCTGAAGTTATAAGGTTTCAGCTTAGACTGGTTTTTGAATGAGGCACTATACAGAGCAACCCAATCAAAACAAAGGTCATTTACATATCCGTCTTAAAGGCACAGTAAAAAACAGCATGTTTAATACAGAGGGATAAAGAGAGGTTGGAAATATATAATATATCTTGTATGTATATATATATAAAATTTAACACAGACTACAAGCATGTATTGTGTCCGTATCAGGGCACATTTTGCGCTGCATTATACATATATATATGGCCTACATCTGATCTTGAGAGTAAAAATAGGTTTTTTTTGATGGTAAATATTCTTCCAGCACATTATTGAGGCTTTTTTCTTAGTCAAATCGCTGACTGCTACTACAGCTAAAGGACTCCTCCCAACAACATGCTTTTAAGACTCTACTGCAATTGCGCAATCCTCCTGCAAATGTATATGTATGAGGGAGAGAAATGCAGTTTGTGTTTTTCCATACTCATAGCCTGTGCATACACTGTGCATCAGGGATGCTGGTCTGTGGGCAGAATGCATCCAATTGCTGTCTGAAACTGGTGCAAATGGTTTAGTAAATAAGATCCTGCATGTTTTTGTTCAGTACAATGTATCCTTTGCTAATTACAATTATAATACTGCTAACACAAAAGTTTGCAACATGCAAATAAACCTTTAACCAATCACTGAATGTTTAATTATGTGCTGTGAGCATTCTGCCCAATCACAGATTTGGTGTTTGGATGAATCAAGGCACAAATGATTTTGTTAAAATTAATGCAGGCCAGTCTTTAATCAGGTCACGTCAAGTGTTCAACAATGTGCTTAATACATTGCTAGGAATATTGCAATATGCACCAAAAAAAATTCACTGTAGTATTTTGTCTATGTTATAAAGACCAAGAATGACAACTCAGGCAAAACTCAGAGATGACTGTAGTCTGCACAATGCTAACTGCTGACTATGATCTTACTTGTTAGCTACCCTCATAGCTCCAGTGCAAAGCTGAAAAACTACAGGTTGTGCAAGAGAACAAAATGTGTAAATCTGATTCAAGGAGAACATGCTGCACCAGAGAGAACACAAACTCATTATAGCTTTATCTTCAGTTCTTATCTGCTCTTAGTTGCTTGGGAAAGCTAATGTTATTGATAAGCATCTAGGTCTATGCTCTATTGCAGTGGAAGGGCTCTGTGCCACCTCATTATGATAAAATGTAGCTCTCTTTAGATGCTTCCTCAGGTATTTTGATGCAAAGAAACACAAAGACACAAAGGCTCCTTGGGCCATATTACATCAGCTGCTACCTTACATGGTGAATTTCAAAGCTGGGGAGTGCAATTATGATGCATGTATTCTCTGTCTTGCCCTGCCTTACTGCTCTGGGCTTCTACTAGAACATGCTCTCTGATGTATGATCTATCTTGTAGTCTCTGGCTTTGTCTCTTGCTCTCTTTGTCTGCCTCACACATTGATGTAAATAACAAGATAACATGAATCTAGCATCTGGGTTTGCTTGTGTGTAAGCGTTTAAGATATGCTAGTAATTTGGGCAACTGATTCAATGTTATTCCCATCATATCTGTTAAAGGAGCTCTCCAGTGTTTTTTAAACCTAATCTCTACCTGCTGTATCTGTATTGTATTTGGTTATATTGTGGTTGTATTGTATCTGCTTATAGATGGTAGGTTTTGAGTCAGCACATTTTTGTAAGCAAGGGGAAGCTTATTTCGACACAACTACCATCTATGGTAATGAACCATGCAATGCAGATACAAAGGATAGAGATTAGGTTGAAAAACTCTGGAATATTCCTTTAATACCTCCCCAGATATTCACCAATGTGCCCAGGAAATAGCAGCGCTTCCTGTAGTAATCCTGTCAGTTTTACCCCCACCGTCGCCCACACTAAAACTCCATTATTCCTCAACTCTGAGTGACCCTGCTAACCAAAAATAAAGCCCATCATAACAGAGCTCTGAACAGAGCTGCTTTGGGGGAGTTCATGTGTGTCTGGCTTGTTCAATTATTATAGTAGCGCTAAACAGCCAGACTGATCCAGAGAAAATAAACAGGATTTCTGGAATATTACGTTTATTGACCGCAGCAGTGTGGGAAAGAAATAAGCGTCTTAGCATGGCAAAGGTCAGCATGATCCAATCCTTTCATAACCTGTTCTCGTCTAAATGTTCGAGAAGGGCCTTGAGGAGCTAATAGCAAAGCATGGTGAAGAATAAAAGCCCTCTTGGCTTCCATTGCTCTGAATGCTTTGCTGCATTAAAGGCCGGGGCGCTGGCCACTCGTGCAGTTTTGCTGTGGCACTCTTAGTGTACCCGAGTCGCTCAGTGAGCTGTAATGCACCGCTTCTGTCCATGATGGAAGTGGTTTCCATGGCAACCGCTTCCTCCGTTCCCCATTCAGCAAGCTTTAAATCCGTGAAGGGGGTGTGGGTGAGGAAAAGAAAAAATCGAAGCTCTTCTCTCTCTCTCTCTCTCTCTCTCCGTCTCGCTCTCTCTTTCTTTTTCTTTCTCACTTCATTAGATTTGTGCCTCTCCATTTTTCATAAGAGCGTACTACTGAAGGCATAGCCACTCAAAATTCTTTGCCTCTGTTTGAGTGTCCTGCAGATTTTTAATATGGTGGCTGGCGTAAACAGGTGAAGAGGGAAGGAATGTTGCCATTTTTTTCTTTAAATGAATAAAATTTAAAGTCATTCAACGAAGGCACGGCTTCTAAAGCAGATGCATCTTGTTACAGAGGATAAAAGGAGATATCTGAAAGGTAGGACTGGACTGCTACAGTTGGACCATTGCATGGACCTGATATACTGCTGGTTTAATGTTAACAATTGGGACACTGTCAGTCTTTTTAACATTTTCCTGTTTGCTCGTTCATTCTGGTTCTGTACTACAACCGCGTTGCATTATACAGTGAATAAAGCAGTGCTCCCTTTGTGGTAATCACTCTTTGCATAATTATGTGGTTATGAGCTCACAAGTAATCTTTTAAATCTGTTTTGTTAAAGAAATACTCTGGCATTTTTCAACCTATATGTCTGCAGCATCTATAGTATAAAGTCATTTAGCATGGACAGTAATTTCCTTGTACAGAAGAACAGAAAATCTATTAACCCAAAAACACTTGGCCATTTCCATTGGTCCATTCATCATGAATTTCTGATGCATTGAAAAGGCCAAATGGTATTTTCAAATTCTGTAAAACAGAATGAAAAACAAGAAAACATGGAAATACAAAATGCAGCAGGAACTAAAACACTCTGCTGAATTGTTCCATTATTTGTTGTGCCATAATCTTGTCTCATGAAAATGTTAGATCAGCTTGAGTCTGAAGCACTGTAGCATGTGTGGGCATGCAAAGTGTTTTCATCATATGGTGATGAATGGACAGAAAACGCTTGATCTCACCAGTGGAACAACCTCTTTCTCCAGGGGAATGTGGAGAGAAAATCCTGCTGAAACAGCAGCTCTGAATCTGTACAACTTACTGATCTCCTGCTCATAGGCAGCGCTTTGATAAAACAGGGGAATTACAGTTGAGTCTGGCCTTTGCAGGATGATTTGGGGGGATTACATCCCATATTTCCCAGCTCTGATCATCCATTGGCTTTTCTTCTTATAAGTCTCCTTTAACCCATTTTCTGCAGAATGTGGGTCATTAGGACAGTATTATATATTATCACTGAAGTCAATTTGCAGTTTTCAATCTGTTTTGTTATGCTTGCCTCGTATTAATTAGGTTTGGGAAGACAGTTGAGTGCACACAGTCCTGGACAGGGTGTGCATGGCATCCTAGCACTGCATATGATGAAATGCTGGGGTTTTTATAGCACTTTTAAAGCATTTGAGATGTAGCTTTCTGCTTTAAATTGATATTCCTAACACTTCTCTAGGTGCAAGGTAATCTGATTTGTTTAAAAATGCTGGGAGTTGCCAGTAGCTTTGCTGTCAAATTCAGTGCTGTGGAGAGTAATTCTATCCTAGACAGTGGGGGTAGTGGTTGTAACTCTCTCTCTCTCTGTTGTGCTCTATTACAGCCGACATCATCTCTACGGTTGAGTTCAACTCAACAGGGGAGCTCTTGGCCACTGGAGACAAGGGAGGACGTGTGGTGGTTTTCCAGAGGGAACAGGAGGTAAACGAAAGAATGACGACACAACGTTCTCCGCATTCTCCTGCCAGCACTGCACTGATGCACAGCTGTTAGATTCCTTTCAACATTAGCGTTGTCTCTAGGATGTTGGCATTCCACCCAATGCAAAGACACCTAAGGAGGTGTCGATTATTGTAGTCATAGCCCCACAACTACAGGTGTGACACACAGGTACTTGCTGTGTACCCACTAGTATTTGGCCATTACTACTATTTTAAAATATTGATACAAGAAAGAAAAGTAAAGTGCTCTTCAAATCAAATGAGCTTTAGAAAGAACTACTTAAATAGTGGTAGCTCACTAATGTCCAGTTTCCCATGGATTAAGCCTAGTCTTAAGGCCTTTAAACAACAAGTATGATTATTAATGTAGTGGAACCTTCACACCAAGTCTGGTGTTTTTTCGTAACTTTCTGAGAATGAAAGAGAAGGAAAAATGGATTTCCCTCAAGTAGTAGCAAGTAGTAGCAGGACCACTGCTCTGCACATTTTAGTGTTTTCCCAGCTCCCAACTCACCTGATCCAACTAATCAGCTTCCTTATAGCCCCTTAATGAGTTGAAATGGGTGTGTTGCAGCAGGGGAAGCACTAAAATGTGCAAGGCAGTGGGTCTCCAGAGCCAGGGTTTGGAAGCACTGCACAAATGTACTCACCATGCTCTATGGTCTGCCATGTGTTTTCTTTAACTTCTGCATTTTTAGAGTTAGCTGTTCTTTGTCTTATAAACTTATAAACTAGTGTTCTGAGAAAGGCAAGATGAACAGTTCTGTCACCATGACAGCTGAGCTCTGATTGGTCAGCCTGATTTTAACACCACACAACAGGAGGAAATCAACCGGGCACGGATTACAAACTTTACACAGCACCATGATCCGACAGCATTTAATATGCGCATGTTCATTTTCAGAACTTGTCATGCGTTTTTTTTTGTCTGTAAAAATCCAACTAGCGGTGAATAGGCCATCATCAGAAATGATTTTTAATCTAGGCTTAGGCTTAATCTGAGTCTGGTAAACTGGCTCTAAATATTGTAGTTACATTTCTGTGTGCTAGATAGGCTAGTCTTTACTTTCGGCTTGACTACAACACTGCCCTCATCCCTTTCAGAATACACCTAAAAACTCATTAAAAGAGAGTTTAGTAATATTACAATAACATTACAATACCATTATGTCTGAGACCTATTTAAAAAGAAGCATCAATGAGAGATGGATAACATTTCAAGTTCAAGTTCTGTAGTCAGGAAAGCCATATCAGAGACACAGATTGTCAGACTCCATACTGCAGTTGTTCTAGTAATGGAGGAACAGTATAAACCAGTTGTTTAGAACATAACAAACCTTTAAAACACTCACAGCAGGGGAATCCAGCCTCATGTTTGCCTTAATAGATTGCTTTGGAAATCTACAGTTATTTATTCTGGTAGCTGACATACCCGCCACCCCCCCCACACACACACACACTCCCTTTTATTTCCATATGCTTATTGATTGTGTGTACATGTATGTGTTTGGTTACCACCAGCTGTGCCAAAGAAGCTACCAATCAATGTTGTGTTATATTGAATTCAGTATAACTACTCACTGTTAGACACATCCTGCATGTAAATGACATGATTTTTTAAAGTGAAACACTTCACATATTTTCTAAGTGAAGTTAACACATCCTCAGCAATATTTAGGTCACAACTTATTTATTTGGTTGAGTTTAACATATTGGGAAAAAATAAAACATAACATGTAATATGTGCCAAACTCTTTGTAGTTACTGCATTTTATGTTATCAATAGTAATTATGCATTAAAGTGTGCAGAAGTGTGTTCTCTGTAGATGTGCTAACTTATTTTCATGTAGAAAATCAACAAAACGAGTGTCCCCAAACGTTTGCATACCACTGTATTTTCTATACCCAGTACCCAGCAGGCACCAGACAGTTATAGACTGTCACACTTTCTCTGTCTCTCCCTTCTGATCCAGAGTAAGAACCAGCCTCACAGGAGAGGAGAGTATAACGTTTACAGCACGTTCCAGAGCCACGAGCCTGAGTTCGACTACCTGAAGAGCCTTGAGATCGAGGAGAAGATCAACAAGATCCGGTGGCTGCCCCAGCAGAACGCTGCTTACTTCCTGCTCTCCACCAATGGTGAGTAAACAGCCACAGGTTCCATTAAAGGGCCGGATATAATGGAAAAAAAATGTTCCTCAGTAATTAGAAATAACAGGGTTTCCCAACAGCTTATGTTGAATTCAATGTTTTTGTGATATCAAGAAAACACATTTACAGAGATCAACCTATTCAGCCTAGAGCAGTTTAGCTCCACCAACTCATGTTGAAGTTTTAAGGAGTGTTTCAGGGCAGCCAACCAGAACAGAGGTTATTTGCATATATTGGTCTTAAAGGCACAGTAATATAACAGCCTATTTAATTTTAAGGGGTAAAGAGAGGTTGGAAAATGAACTATGATTTCTGGGTTTTTGGTACATAAACCCACACAAATGGGGGGAAAAAAGGAGGATATGGGCCCTTTAAACATTCTTTGCTAGATTTCTAGATTAGAGGTTAATAATGTAGAGTAATGAAAAATGTAGGAGGCCGCAAGGTTGGAAGTAACTGTCTAATAATTCATTTTATTGCATCATAACTAGGATGTAGAACCCATGATTAATATTCTGGTATAGACTAAATTATATACATAAAGTCTCTTGAGGTAATGTGTAACACAGAAATATATTGTAGCTGTCAAGCAAGTAATTCATCTCAGGGGATGTGTGCGTTTTCTTTCAGATGCTATGACTTCATCTTATATCCTCCACTGAGCTGGAGAGCTGCCAGTATTGTGCCAGATTGTGTGCAGTCTCTCTATCTTTGCTCACTCGCGCTCTCATACTCTCTTGTGTCAATACTGGTGTGTGTGTGTGTGTGTGTGTGTGTGTGTGTGTGGGTGTCTGCAGATAAAACTGTGAAGCTGTGGAAGATCAGCGAGCGAGATAAAAGACCAGAAGGCTACAATTTGAAGGACGAAGATGGAAGGATTCGAGACCCTTCCACCATCACCTCACTGCGGGTCTGTATTAGGAGTGTAGAAATGCAACAATGCATCAATGCTTTTCTGATACATTGATCTGAAGGTGGTGATTCAATAGAATTGGTTTCAGAATGTGAGAATCTGAAATGATTATAATAATATTCAGCAAAGTACAGTACTGTGCAAAAATCAGAGACTATCCTTCGTTTATTGTTTTCCAGTCAAAACAGCAATTAAGTACAAATGATTTATTTTTTGGCATCAGAAAAACAAAAAACCTATATTCAGCAGAAAATTACACAGAAGCCTCTGCAACTAAATATAATACCACACCCAAACACATTCAGTGATGTTGATGTCTGGACTCAGGGGTGGTCAGTCCGTTGTTCTGAGAACACCAGTAGCTTCTTTGTTTGATTTGTAAATGTTCTTTTTTTGTCTATTTGCTTTTCTCAGTAATGACTTAACAGCTACACATCCTTTCAGACTCATAGCATTAAGTTGTCGTCTTCCAGTGGTAAGATGGACAGAAAGACCTGTGGATTTTGTATTAGGCTAAGCTGGACTTTCTTCTCCTACCTCTCGTTCCCATTTTAAGTACAGTTTAAGTACAGATAGTGACAGTTTTGGTAGTCTGACAGGTCTTGCATGGTTGTTAGGAGTCCCATTTAATCTGTATATTCTAATAATGATCTTATGCCTAACCCCCTCAGAAATATCTCTTGAAAATTGAATAATTTATACCTAATGGCAATTTTGACTTTTAAAAATTCAATAAATGTAGGATGGTCTATTTACAAATATAAAAATAAAAGAAGCTTGTTGTATTATTTTCATTATCTTTTTCCCACTGCTATGAATATAGCTCTGCCAGCCACCTTTGCTTACATAGTGTACTTTTTTTAAATAATTCTGAATCTTACTGCAATAATCTCATCATGTTGAGCTTTGAGATTTCATTGAATCGTTAACTTGAATCATTGAATCATAATCTAATCAAATCTTTGTGAGATCAGAGATTTGCACTGCTATTCAGTATACTACTGATGATTGTTCTTTAGAAAAATAAAAAAAATGTCTTACATTAACCAACATTAAGTAAACCAGTACAGAGATATGTCAGATATGTAAATCTGCTTTTGATGTTGGCAGCAGTTACTAGGGCCTTAAAGGATTCAGGCTAGCTCACATAGGAAATATGAAAATTAGGGTCGACTGGGTCTGAAGGTTTGGATCCACTGAGAAGATCTGACAAGCCACTCTATTGTAAAGAGTCTAGCAGCAGCACTGCAAGAAAATATGTGCAATTAGCATCAGACTAAAGGGGATGTCTATGCCCAGACTGGCAACTGTTTCTTTGACTAAAAGTGGGCCATCATCTCCTTTTAAAATCTACTCAGAATACTCCTGACTGTAGCTTCAGAATGGCAGATTGCTGGGTGGAGATTTGAGCATCTCTGAATTGAAACTAAGCCCAGTCCCCAACAGCAGTCAGCAGTTCATCAGAAGCTTGGTGGTGCATTCTCGCGTAAATGCTACATGGAACAGTCTCTATTCAAGTCAATTCCCACGTGAAAATCACATTTTGTGTGCTCAGGGCCAGCACTGATGAATGATCTTCTATCATCAATAGACAGCGTCTCTCTCTTAATCAAAAGGCAGCTGCTGAGAGTGATGAGTGTGTGCAGCGAAGAAGACGTGATCATTTCTCTTTCTCTCTCTCTGTCTCTCTCTCTCCCCTCTCTCTCTCTCGTGTTCTTTCACCCATCCCTCCAAATTGAATCTTTATACAAAAGGGGGGCGCGACTCTGTGTATCCATTAGTGTTTGGTGTGGTGTCTGTTTTTCGGCTCCGTGGCCTAATGGATTAAAGCGTTCTACTCCTCCGCCATTGTCTGGTCGGTGTGGAAGATTAGCCTGATGGCAGGGAGAAGGTGGCAATCCCATTTGGAGCGTGAAATGTATGTGTGCTGAAGATGGAGCGAGGGATTTATCGGTGGGCACAGGCGGAGGAGTGTGGAGAGGTGCGGGTGAGGAGGGAGGAAGCAGAGGGAAGACTCTGTGAGGCAAAATGAGCACACATTTCATGTGTTCTGGCAGCGCCAGCGCCATATTCCTGCTCTACTCACTGCATGAGGTTTTGCCCCTGAGGCCTTTGGCGAGCTAGTGTTGAAGTTTGAGAGCTCATAATCCCAAACTTTGACCGATATGTTGAGTGGTCAGCGGGCAGCTGATATTAAGAAACAGAATATTTTATGTTATTATTAAACCTCTTAAACTCTCAGGTGTTTGTATGTGGGCCCATACTTTAGTTAACACTCTCATATTTACATAACTTACATGTTAGTTTCATAGTAGTGACTATAAAAGTAATTGCAGTTGCTGAATTAAAAATTCTAAAGATTAATAAAAGAATAATGTTACATTATGTTACATGAATGTTATATTATTCAGGGCAAAAAAGGTATGATCATGCCTAAAAAGTGATGCAGCATTAGAGATTCTGTCTAAGAATACATGCAGAGAATATTAAACAAACAAACAAATAAATAAATAAATCATCATTTAAATTAAAGTATTCTTTATTGCATTGTATCCTTTGCATTATTAGATTATGCTAAGGAATAATAGTTAAAGGGAATTTATTATCCAAACTTTTCCCATAATTAAATCCTTAAGATGTAAACAAAGTCATTCGGAATAGTTGTATGTGAAATGCTCTGTTCTGAAGAAACTTAGCAGCTCACTTAGTTTACAGTGGTGGTGATAGGAACCAGACTTCTGAAGCATTTAATGCCTTTAAAAGCCACATCACAGAGGTTAAGTACTGGAAGTTGTTACAAATATACTAAGACATTGTTTTATTATTATTATGAAAATTTTGGCCTAAAACTGTCTTATAAAAAGACAAATAAAAATCCATTCATGGTGGAAAGGTACATGAAGGGCAGTCTAAGGCAAAAAGTCCCCTGTAGAAAGGTATTTTTATAGATGTGCCACTTTTCTATCATTATCAACAATACACATAAGGACGTGTGTAGGTTCACTGGCCATTTTGGATAGTTAATAAAATGGCGATGTTTGTGCGATGCCTGTTTCCTGTCACCACCACTGTGAAGAAAATTAGGGTCAATAAGTTTCTCCTCAGTGCAGTGTTTCACATCAAAACACTTGAAATGACTTTGTTTACATGTCAACTCAACATGTCAATTAAATTACGCTGAACATTTGAAAAATTGATGGAATTTCCCATTGTCATAATTGCTACATTATGTCCCACATCGAGTGTTCAACTAGCTCTATTTACTCTGTGGAGAAATGACTTTTCTCATGGCCATGCTGTTAGAAAGGGTGTCGATGATTTACTGTTTTTCATATGACTTGGTTTTCTGCTCTTTATGAAGGTAAATAGAATTCGGTAATAAGGTTGCACATATGTTAGGACATAAATTATAATTGTTGTTATTTAAAATAATCTACTAATGCAAATGAACGTTTTCACCACTAAATAACTCGTATATCAAGATTATATATGATATATTTTTAAAGCATTGTTTGATAAATCATAGCATTCTAATCTTTGACTGCTGATGTATGGTATGGAAAATGCCAGGCTTAAATACAAAGCTTCTATTCCCCGTGCGTTGTTCCTTCCTGCTGTCTCAGGGACAGATAGAGAAAACGGTGAATGTTTTCCTCCACCGCCTCATCGTAGTGCTTGCTGGACACTATGGAGAAGAATGAAGGCAGACCGGAGACTGAGATTCTTTAAAGCAGTGAAGGATTGTACTCCCTGATCCATCTCCCTGAGCCGAAAATAGAAAGTTATCATTCCTCAGCAGAGCGGAGCTGCAGCCGGGAGCTCTCCTCAGTAGGGTTTGCTGATACATTGCCAGCCAATTTATTATAACTTGGCACCCCATTTGTATTTGTGTACACACAGATGAAAGTATAGTCACTAGTGGTGGGTGTTTTTCTTCTTTTTAGACTCACTGAAATGGATAGCATAGTGGATAATATCACTGCACCACATGGAAGGTTCAAGGTTTTATCCCTCGTCTAGTCATTCACCTACACAGTGTGCTAAATATAAATGTAAATTCTTAAAATAATCAGTGATTCATGTTTAGAGTTTTAATATAAGATATGGATTAAAGGATAACATTGTTTAAAATGTCAAATATTAAAGTATTGATTATTGGTATTGGCATCACACAAAGGGTTATTATAATTTTATGATATAGTTTTTATTTTATCAGTTTCAGTTTAGTTTCAGTTGGTTTCAATACATTTAAATAGACATATTGGTGTTTCTCAGACATATTAGAGTTCTCAGACCTTTCAGTCTGTATAGCTGCATTTGATACACCAGCGTTGTACTCTGCCCCACATAAACAACAAGGAATGCACATAACAACATGCATGACAATAACCAGTGATCATTTTACCTGGTTATAGTCATCAGAATGAATAGTGTTATTTGTGAATGAATGGATTTGAGTGGCACTTTAAACAGAGACGGCTCGATTCATATTCATATCTAAAAACTCACCCTGGCACTTTTAAGATCGTTAAAGATAATGAGTGGTATTGTCAAGCTGGTGCTAAGGGCTGATCTGAATGCCTCTCACATGGTGTGGAGAAGCACTCCAGCGTGTGGCGCGATTAAGAGGAAATCACTCCAGGAGAGGCTGCCTGCTGCTTCTAAACACATGCCATTTCGGACCTAAGTGTGCACAGCATCTGCACGGTGCAATTAGGACCTGCACAGAAAACACATGGCTCAGTAGGAAGTGTGGTCCAGTGGCCCAGTCCCTCTGCATGGCCCTGTTCACAAATGTCAAACCCATGCTGAACAGCCATTATGGTGGATTTAGCAGCCATTTAGGGGCAATGAAGTGGTAAATATGGAACTGTAGTTTTTTGTCCGTTATAAGAAGAGTGAACTGAAATTAAAGTGTCTCCGAAGATGAAATGCTCTGGTATTTTGTTCTATAGTCTGATTCACTGTAGTTGCTTTTGAAAATGTATGCAATTCTAAAAGCAACGGGGTGACTCCAATCTTTTGGCCTGGGAAGTTATATAGTTGGGAGGTTTCGATGTGGATCTGGTTGTGAATTCTGATTCTCTTCTCTTTTCTCTTTGTTGGTCCAGGTGCCGGTGCTGCGGCCCATGGACCTCATGGTGGAGGCCACACCCAGAAGAGTGTTCTCTAATGGCCACACATACCACATCAACTCCATCTCTGTTAACAGTGACTACGAGACGTATATGTCCACAGATGACCTGAGGATCAACCTGTGGCACCTGGAGATCACCAACAGGAGCTTCAGTATCCTTCTGTATAGAGAGTTATTGGAGTAGAGATCAAATAGCATCTTTCTTTTTTAATCAGATTTGATGCACTTGATGAACAGTCTAACATGGGGAGCCAGAGGTGGTGCACTGCAAGTGTCCTAAGGGTGAGAGATATGGCCAAAAATCTAAGATCATGATACTTGAAGACATTTTCACGTAAACAATGTGCGTTACAATGTTTCGTTTTTTTTCTCAGGTTTACTGTGAACAAGTTGGAATGGACAAAAAGCATTTTCAGAATCAAACTATTCAAGAAGTAACAAGAGTGAGAAATCAAATAATTGATTATAATAAATGAACAAAATAAGATAATGGGTTGACGTCCAATCAGCTACTGGTTACTATGCAGTTTATGCAGTTACTGTAGACTAATTCTTGTTTATAGGCTCTCTGTAATCGGGCTAAATCTGTCCTTTTTATGATGTACACAGTTGTTCAGTGTTACTAGCCTCCTGAGTCTCAGTGTCCTCATAGTAGGACATCACATTTTGGCTTCCCTGTGCTCTATACATTATTGTATCAGTGTAAAAGTGATTCTCAAATGAGGATAGAATGTGCAACTGTCTTGTGATACGATATATGCTATGGAATATAGATGGCACCCATCACAGTAAACTTTTGGGAGAAGTGCTTAAAAGAATAGACATTGAACAAAATATCTTGTTTTAACATTTAAAGTAGTTTATTCACATTTATAAAAGTTTGTAGTTTGCTTTGATACACTAATTTGAAACTTTTATGTGATAATGTTAACATCATTAAACATGAAGTACAAGGATGGTGGGACTATAAAGTTTATGAAAAATAATAGACTAGAAAACCCTAAAATTCCACATATTTCGTATCACACACCTAAAATCAGCCTGTTTATGTATTTTAGTTTATATTATTTTGCATACAGTTATTTTACACACTGCATATCGAACAAAACCTTGTACCTCCAAAATGGTAACTTTATGGGGAAAGAAATAAACACTTTAGGGGGAAACAAAAACCTTATACAAGGTTTTTGTGCAACAGTGACGATATGGTGTATGAAATGTGACGTTCCTGTGCTTGCAAATTAAAGGCAGCTGTTTTCAGCATTTCACACTAGAGAAAAGTAGGTACATTCAAACAACGTAGAGAACTGTTGTGAAGTAGCAACTGTCCTGGCCAGTGGTCACCAGCCCTCCTCCTGGAGATCTACCTTCCTAGAAACAGCTGACAAAGGAGGCATCTGAAAGCAATTATTAGATTGATCAGGAGGGGTCTATTAGGGTTGGAGCTGAAGTCAGCAGGAAGGTAGATCTCCAGGAGCAGGGTTAGTGAACACTCTTGTAGGCTATACTGAATTCTGTGTGGTGAAATCAGGTATGTAACCAAATATGAATAGGCCATTATTCATAATGAATAGATGCATTCTAATACATTATAAACTGATATGAATACAAGTAGGTGATACACCTTGAGTTGCAGTTTTTTATTTATTTTGACTGCACACGTTCATCTGAAAGTTTAAATCTGCAGGAAACTTGCAACATATGCCATCAGTCAAGAGAACTGTGCTGGGTGAATTCATAGTCATTAACAAGAAAGCATGCAAACAGGGTCAGGATACCAAAACATGGTAGACCAGGAACTTCAAAAAATAAACAAGCACACATCTTAGAATTGATAAAGTTAGAGCAACATAGAGTAACAGAGGCCAAACCGGAGCACATATAGCAGTCCTAATGAGTTCAACAATCAGGAACAGGAGTGGGTGATCAGTATTGATTAGGGACAGCTATGTGTGGGCAGTGAGAGGGTGGAGCTGTAGCTGTTCGGAGCCAAACTGAAGCAAAAGAGTCATTCAGATTGATGTGGAGAAGGTGATGCCTCACGCATAGCAATATTTAAAAAGACAAAGATAAATAAAAATGAATATATGGGCACTGCCAGTGCAGCCCCGGTTAAGCTTTCACAGCCCAAGCATACTGTGAGCCTTAGCAGTTCCTTGTTTTTTCCAGTTCATTTATTTAATTGTTATTATGTTATTAAAAGGTAAATCTGCTGACACCACGATGAATAATTACCACAAACTCTTTCTGATGTTTCAAAGAATTAGAATTACATATTCCCATCATAATTGTGAAGTGTTTCCTGAGCGGCGTTTCTAGACATTGTAGACATTAAGCCAGCCAACATGGAGGAGCTGACGGAGGTGATAACCGCAGCGGAGTTTCATCCTCACCAGTGCAACACGTTCGTCTACAGCAGCAGTAAAGGTTCCATCCGGCTGTGTGATATGAGGGCCGCCGCGCTCTGCGACAACCACTCCAAATGTGAGTGCTTAAGATCTCACCAAAATTCTGTAAAGGCATGGGTGTCAATAAAAACTTCTAATCCTGGGGAAGATAAGAGTCAGCTGAGACTCCCTATGGAAGCTTTCACCTTGTGTTTGCAGGTGTGGGACCCCTCACTCAGAGCCCTGTTATATATTCCATGTATACAGTCGAATGCGAAACATCCTGGTCAAATTACATGTTTTGTTGATTTTCTAAGTGAAAATAAGTTAACACATCCTCTACAGAGAACATACTTCGTAATGGCACAATTTCTATGAATGTGTTTAACATACTGAAAACAAAAAATTATAAAATGTGCCATAACGTTTGCACAGGCTACATTTTGTGTTTATTTTTTTCCCTAATATGCTACATTCAGCAAATATAAGTAAGTGAGCTTTATAATGTGCCAAAATGTGTTCTCAGCAGAGGATATGCTAACTTTTTTCACTTAGAAAATAAAAAAACACAGTTTCACCAGGAGCGCCCAAACTTTTATACACAACTGTCTGTCAAAGTGTCTGCCTTCACCATGTCACCGCTAATGTAGATGTGCAGGGTTTTAGATGGACAGAAGGTGAGCCTACAAATGAAACTTAACTACATAACACAGTAATGATAACTAAGGCTATTAACTGATAGGAACTAAAGCTTTCCCAAGGGACAACTTCTCAAGGTACCTCCTGATTGGTGCCACTATACTTTGCGTTACATTGACACAAAGTTTAGGAAACTAAAGATAACTAAATTGGTTGAAAAGCAATTTGCCTTTTACAAGATAACATTAGCTGCAAAAAATAAACTGATGCTAAGCTTTTCTCAACATCTGTCTAATTTCAGTTTGAACTACTGACAACGCTTCAGTTCAAGACATGCAGAATTTATCTGCAGGATTTAGTTCTAGTGATATATAAATAAAATGATACGAAATAAACAAAATTAACTCTAAATGTAATAACATAGTAATAATATGATAATAAGAATTGCTTCTTGAAAAAGGCTATCCCTAGGTCTTTCCTGATTGGTCGTGCTGTAGCATAGTTTACAATGGAAAGACTTATGAAGGTTGGGAACTAGAAATGACTACATTTGCTGAAATGCTGTTTTTTTTTTTTTAAGTAAAACATTAGGAGTTAAAGTCAACCAGAAATCAGTTTTTACCTTGTCAGTTCATGTCCCTTGTCAAAGTAAGTATGATTCATCATACCACAGTGTTGAAAGACAATGAATATGTCACTGTGCAGTGGGGGGTGGAAAAAATAATACTAACCAATAAAGTCATGTTTAACCTCCCCACTCCCATCATCATCTCCTATTATCAAGCAAAAACGCTTAACAAGTTTAGAGATCCTCCCCAGTACCATACATTTAGAAATACGGTACAGAAGGAAAATTTGTCTTGATTTCCAGTTTACATTTATTCTCTGCTTCTGCTTAATTCCAGTTGGAACTAACTTATTGATAGCTATTCAGTTTTAGCCATCCTAAATGTATCTGAAGAGACCACCAATACCTCAATAGAAGTCTCACTGCTTACATGAACTAACCAGCCTCCACAGAAACAAACATTACAAATGCATAGAGCAGCCGAGCTCACTCCACTCAGGCCCTTCCCCGAGAGACCAAACAGCATGTCAGCCATGACGGGGATTAGCCTGCCTCCCATCTTGGGCGAGGGATGGAGGAGGTGAAGCTTATGCTAATATTTAATGTGATTGTGTCTGCTTTGGCTTAACCCCCTAATTTCATTTGGCAAGACTGATAAATCCATACAGTCTGCATACAGTAGCGTCCCCCCAGCCTGCACATGGCTGAATTGATAACCGGACACTGATAAATTTCCATTAGATCTCCTCTGGGCTTTAGATCTCCTCTGAGCCTCTTCGTAGATTGTGGCTGGCAGCACACATTCCAAAATCAGATTGAATACATTGACATTTAAGCAGTGGTATGAAAAAGGGGAAAAAATCAATGTAGTAAGGAGCTGTGCCACGTCTACAGAAATGGAAGAGTTCAGTCATTTCCTTGGCTTTATTGACGTGCTCGCCGTTCCATGCACATACATCCTGTTGAATGGGTCATTTGCATTCTTTCTGGTGAATTTTAAGCACGGACAGGCCTTGAGGGAGGCTGGTAGAAGTGTGCTTATCCTACTGAAGGCTTGTCTGTTGTCTGTGGAGATGACAGCGTGGCCCTGCATTTTACACACAGCTGTTATTTTTCACCTGGGGTGTCGGCACACAGCAGGCACACGCACTGCCTCGCCCGGGGACATGACGCTCAATACCTATGCTCATCTGTTACCACTGTCTGAGGAAATATGGTCATTGGCAAAAGTTTGATCACCCCTGGTCGAATTACATGTGGCAATTTTCTAAGTGAAAATATGTTAACACGCCTTCTACAAAGAACAAACTTAAATATATCAATGCAAAATTTAGTGCACAATTCATGTGTTTGCTGAATTTAGCATATTGACAAAAACACAAACTTTTGTGTTTAAATTAATTTCCAATGTGTTACATTCAGCAATTAAACAGTAATTGTGCATTAAAATGTGTGTGCTCTTTGTAGAGGCACTTATTTCCACATTAAAAATTAATAAAATGTATTTGACCATGGGCACCCACACAAAAAGAGGGTATTAAAAAGAATCAGGCTGTCAGTTGATTAAAATATTTAATTAATTGTTGATTAATGGCATTATTTTGCTTTTGTTTGCTCATATTTGAGCCTAAAGACAGATGCTTCCCATTTCAAAAGCAGTGCATTTTGAAATAGCTATACGAACGGACATAATAAGCTTCATCAGAATGTATTTATGAGTAATAATTAGATAATTAGTATCAGTAATCCAATAACATTGCAAAGTTCACATGAATCTGAACATGAAAATCACATGATTTCCAGACTGAAGGCAGTTTCCAGTTTTCGTCAGCAATTCCAAGTGAGAGCAACAGTGGTTGCATGTTCCAACTTCTCATTCTCAGAGTGCTGTTACATCTCATTGAATTATCCACAGGTCTCCTGCAAGCACTGTCCAGCATTGTCTGCCTAAAGCATTCTCCAGTGCTTGCCCCATCAGTGCTGTGCTTTGCTTAATTCAGACTCAGCATTCTTCAGTGATAAACAAATTCATGACATTGTAGTTGCTGGAAATAACTTTGTTTTTATCAAGAGAACCATCATTAGAACATCATTTTTATTTAAAAGATGTATTTGAAAGAGAGAACTGCAAATGTGAAGCTACATATAGTGAGTGAGCAGCTTGGCTTCAGGCTGGAACTACAGAGGGTTTCAAACTAATTTATTAATTTATTAGAATGTTATTAACACGTTATTAATAATCACTAGTTGGTATAATGTACAAAACTCAGCTTCATGTTTGTCAACTTGTTGTCTTTGTTATAAAGGTCAGGTTTTGCCTCATCTTTTGGCTTCTTTTCTGTCATTTCTGCTAAATGTATGTTTGAATAATGTACTTAATGGTTTGTTTGACAGGAAATTAAATAAATGAAAGATTTTGTTATCTATCAGTACCACCAAAAATATAAAGCAATATTATTGTGTGACAGTGTACCAGTATACTGCTATAACACTAATGGAAAATCATTCACCCCAAAATGTATTTTAAACAACTAAAAGTTTGAGTGCTGACATCACAACAAGGGACTAAAATGTGTGAAATATGTCATTCGTCTGTTGTTCCTTCACTTTTGCAAAAGAGCAAGATCTAAACAGTTAACTGAAAACTGACAAAGAAAACATGCTAAACATACTTAATTAAAAACATACCAAAACATTTTGAAAAGCAAGGTATCCCCAAACTCTAGACAGGCAATGTATGTGTGTGTTGTTCCTTCTCCTCCTCCTCCCACACTCATAAATCTTTCCGCTGTCCTGAGGAATATTCTGAAAAATCAATCTCACTGTGGCGTGGAGCGAGGCCCAGCCACAACAGTCCTTCTCAGTCTGTAGTGCGGCTCCACACAGCCTCCCTGGAGGACTCATTATCCTGTGGTGAGTGACACTGAGCTAAGCTGCAGGTGGACGCGCTCACGACATGACACAGCCCACCTGGGACACACACCTGCAGTTCAGGCCGCCGTTCCTCTGCATCGACCTGTGTCCCCTTTCCCTCTGTTCCTGTTTTATCTGCCCTAGAGATGTCCTGCTGAGACAGCACAGGCCAGTACACAACAGAGCCAGCAGAGCAGACAGGGGGCAATTGACAGCAGATGACATAAATAATGGACCTCGCAGATCGCAGACCTATTCGTTTCCCCTCGTCTGGAGAACTACACTGCCTGTCAAAAGTTTGGGGACACCTTCGTTTGAAAATAGAATGGAGTTGGTTTACATAAAACAGCTGTTTGTTATTAATTTGTGTGTATTTTTCAATGCTGACCTTCATGTTCATCACAGTGTCTTTCTTAGTGTGAAGAGATGAGTTTGCCTAAAAAATTATTTTACCAAGTTTTTTTCCAAACTGTTGTTAAAATGTAGTTTGAACACCTGAAGGGTTTGAGTGCTGATGAGTTCTGACATCATAAAATGTGTGGGGTTTGGTATTATTCCCAAAGGAGAACTGTCACGTGATATTGTTTTCCTCAAAGTATAAGGGCTCCCATCTAAGTGTTGGCCTTTCATCAGGAGATTGTGAGTTCAATCTCCAGCAGTGCCATAGCCAGTGCAGTGCTAGCCAGTGTTAGCCAGTGCATACTGACATCACTGGTAGTTAGTGTTAAAACATGCAGTGGCTGACTTCAAGTGTCATGGAGGGGGAATGTCCTAGCTTTAAAGACCCAGCTGGGGTGCACTGTGTAGTAGGGAAGATCTAGCTAGCCATTGCAGTTGGACATGACTAAATTGGGAAGAAAATTGGGTAAAGAAAAGGAAAAAACATTACATTGTTGCAAACTGACACAGAGAATATACACACTTGTATTAAAAAATATCATAAGCTAGCTGTCCCCAAACTTTTGATGGGAAATTCAGAAAATTGTTGACTCTGCAGATTACCTCCTACTCCTCTGAAGAACTTAAAGATTTTGCTGAAGCTATAACAATTTTCTTCACGTCTCTCTTTTTGTCTCTCTCTCTCTCTGTTCACCTCCTCATGCAGTCTTTGAAGAACCAGAGGATCCAAGCAACCGCTCCTTTTTCTCAGAAATCATCTCTTCCATCTCAGACGTGAAGTTTAGCCACAGCGGCCGTTACCTGATGACGCGGGATTACCTGACGGTGAAGGTGTGGGACCTCAACATGGAGAGCAAACCTCTGGAGACCTATCAGGTACAGCATTCATATAGTCGCTTAGATCTCCTCACCTAACTTCACTTAGCATCCTTAAACATAACACATACAACAGTGTTATACGTGTCTGTGTAATGTTATTTTTTATTTGAATTATGCCAAATAACAGTAAAAAGAGTACCTGAATAACTGAAGGCAGTTATTTTCTTGTTTAGAGATGTGAAGTTGACTTGTTACCTTTTTATACTGTAAAGTCTAGAACACTATAAGTAGAACAAAAAACCTCTCCATACATCATACAACAGGGTTGCTCAGTCGTGGTCCTGGAGATCTACCACCCAGGTTTTTCTTATAACTCTATGTCCAAGCAATTAAGGAATCTATAGACCATATAGCACCTTACATTTGCTACAGATGGTGCAGAGGTAACATGTCTAGTCTGACAGATCTGTAAATACACACACACATTGGTGTTTTTTCACCTGTCAGTTATCAGCTACTGTTATTTCACTTCTTGCTACAAACTCATGCAAGACTCGTAGACTCTTATGTAATAAACATTATAATGTAGTATTTATATTGCTGCTCACTGGGGACCCTCGTACTGTACAGTTTAGTGATTTCCCTGATGAACCAAACCTGATTGTGCATGTCAGCTAGTTATCAACCTCTTCATCAGATGTGTTATGGCAGGATAACAGAGTCCTGTGCCACATGATTCCCTTGAGAGTGCTGCTGCTGCTGCTGCTGCTCTAATGAAATGATGTCCTATACTAATGCTTTGTCTGTTCATGTCTGTGTTTGATCCTTCAGGTACACGACTATCTGAGGAGTAAACTCTGCTCGCTGTATGAGAACGACTGCATCTTCGACAAGTTCGAGTGTGTGTGGAATGGATCAGACAGGTCAGTGGCAGTGGCATGGTCAGAATTTTTTTTAACGGTGGACTGGTATGTAAACTTTGATATGCATAGAATCACATATGCATATGTAACAGGAGTAGAACATGTGCATATATATTATTGTCCTTTGTTTACTTATTTTTAAAGATCTGTCCCATATTTATCAAGTGTCACTGAGAACACTGATCCATGTCTCATTTGGACCACTGAGCGTATTAACAGATGGGACCAGGCATCAGCGTGTATATGAAGTAAATGGCCTGAAAGAGTAGTACTCATACCCTACGTAAAAACCTGATTTTGTTTGAAGTTATTTTCTTCTCTAGAGCTAAGCATTTAGCTAAATGGCTAACAGGCTACACACTTGCAGGCTCTATTCAGTGTTAGGCCTTGAATTGAAGTATTTACAGAATGATTCACTGTAAAACTGCACAATACAAAGTTTCTTAAGTGTCTTACAATCTTCAAATGCCCATGGTTTTAGAAGATAAGTATTAAATAAATGTGAAAATGATGTATGGCCCCATTAGCTTGATGCTAACATAATCACATAAAGGCGCTAGCAGAAATTACCATTATTGTTGTGGTGGTAATTTAAGCAAATAAGCTCCTTAGAAGGTGAAGGTTTCATTAGACAATGCTATATTGTGATATGTTCATGATTATATGACAAAAAGTTGATGAATGGGCAATGAATGCCCTCGTTTAACTGTCCATGGTTGCTGCTAATGATAGCTTACTCTAAAGGAATTTGGTTTTGTGGCAGAAGATCCAGAAAATTAGAGAAATTATTTATTGAAGATTTTATCATATTGTATGTCATCACTGTTTTATAAAAGTAATAAGCCACCCGTGGCCATCTATTACAGTGATTATACCACAGATAAGGAGTGTCACAGTAATTATACTATATATAAGGTGTGTTACAGTAATTATACTACAGATAAGGTGTGTTACAGTAATTATACCACAGATAAGGTGTGTTACAGCAATTATACCACAGATAAGGTGTGTTACATAATAATACTACAGATAAGGTGGGTTTAGGCAGTGATTTGAGTCAACCTCCTTTACCCATGATAAAGTCATTGTTAAGCGTGGCCTGTACTTTAATTTAATTATGAATGTCAAAAGCTTATTGTGTAATTGTTATACTTCAGTCAGTTTGACATTTATTTTGCCTCATTGTCTTATTGTCTCATTCTTCCCAGCGTGATCATGACTGGCTCCTACAACAACTTCTTCCGGATGTTCGACCGCAATACGAAGCGTGACGTGACCCTGGAGGCGTCACGGGAGAACAGCAAGCCGCGGGCCATCCTGAAGCCGCGCAAGGTGTGTGTGGGTGGCAAGCGGCGCAAGGACGAGATCAGCGTGGACAGCCTGGACTTCAGCAAGAAAATCCTCCACACCACCTGGCACCCCTCGGAGAACATCATTGCTGTGGCAGCCACCAACAACCTCTACATCTTCCAGGATAAGGTCAACTAGAGGGGCTTGGAACACCCCCATACATGCAAACAGAGAGAGACAGTTTTTGCTGTATGGGGCCGGTGTTTGGCTTGCAGGAGGCATTGTGGATATGTGTTTGTGCACTGAAAGCTAGAGGCTATGAATATGAAATGGAGTGGGATGCTGAGAGCAGGGCCAGATTGGGGACTTACAGAGCTTCTCTCACACACACTAATGCTGCCAGACGTGTGTGAATAAGAAGCAGCGACCCTCCTCTCCTACTCTTCATCGCCTCCGCATTTCTTCTCACTTCCCTTTAACGAGTCTTTTATTTATTCTATTTATTTCGTTGAAGGAAACACCTGACGTTTTGAAACTGAAACAGGGCGAAGCTAAACATAGTATTATGAAGTTTAGCAGATGTATTAAGAAGGTATGGACAGCGGAAAAGCCAAACCTGTGCTGAACTGCAGCCATGTGCAGTAGTGTGCATTTCCCCAATGCCTCTTTCATCGATGCCCTGGCACGTGAAACAGAAGGGTGCCTTTATAATGAACCTGATGGATGTTCTAGTCTCTTTGACAGAAAGGATGCGGCACCCTTCACATAATGCCCTTTAGCCACCGCAGAGCTGTCAATGAAACGTGGAACTGCAGTGGAACATGGATGTGGCTGTGTTGACTCTGATGCTGAGGTCATACGCAATCTATGGACGGCTCTTTGCTACCTGATTGGTTCTCTGAGAACATCGTAGTCTAAGCGAATCCACACTATTGACATGTCGGTTCATTTCATGTCGCTGTTTTACTCGTCTTCTTATTTTAATGTTACAGTTAATAAGCTGTGGTGCCTTCCTTCTTTTGGTATGTGGGCTCGAGAGTGGGTCGGGAGGGGGTTGGTGGGACGCTGTTTTCGGGTGGGGAGGATATGTTGGTTCGTGGAGTGTGACTGTTTTTAAAGAAAAGTGGACCGAATAGCTTTGTGTAACAAAAAAAAAGAAAAAAGAATGAAATTGATACATGTCTTGAGTACACGAAAAAGAAGTGCAAACCTCAATTCCAAAAAAGTTAGGACAGTGTATAACATGCTAATAACAACAAAAAGCAGTGATTAGTAAATTCTGTTGGACCTGTATTGAATAAAAAACAGTACAAAAACACAATATTTGATGTGAACTTTTTGTAAATGTACCCTAATTGCAAATCTTATGCTATGTTCCAAAAGGTTGGAACAGGTGCATGTTTACCACTGTTTTACATCACTTTAGTAATAGTTTGAGGGCTGACGACATGAGTTGATCCTATTTTGAAAGCATACTTTTTTGCCATTCTTCCATTAAACAAACCTTAGGCTATGCAACCATACAAAGCCTTTGCCACACGAATTATTCCACTGTTATGTAGAAATAAGCATGGAGGGTATTGAAGGCGGCGTATGTTGCACCAAAATGTGTATATATCTTTCAGCATTAATGTTGCCTTCACAGATGTGCAAGTCACCCCTGCCATGGTCACTCCCACACCATAACATACCCTGGCTTTTCGTCTTTACACTGGTAACAATCTAGGTGGTCCTTTTCTTCTTTGTTTTGGAGAACACAATGTCCAATAATTTCCATAAACAATCTGAAAGGTTGACTTGTCAGACCACAGTTCACGTTTCCACTGCACATTAGTTCAGATGAGCTTGAGCCCAGAGAAGTCTGGGGCATTTCTGGAGGTTGCTGCCAAAAAAAACAACCAAGTTGGTAAGATATAATAAAAACATCTTGCTTTTGTGCTGTTTTACTTTATAAACAGGTTATAGTGGATTTACAAATCACTGCTTTCTGTTTTTCTTTGCATTTCACATACTGTCCCAACTTTTCTGTAATTCGAGTTTGTTCTTGAACGTTTGCAAAACAGTCATGACACTGGCTGTGTATGCTTATAATTTCTGAAATGTATTCCCCTGGATTTGACTCCTTCAATGCAGTGTGGGGTGAAAGCTGTAATTGCACTCCTTGTAATGAATCACTGTAACAATTAAGAATGTGTACTCAGCAGGGTGCGAACAAGTCTGCAACATAAGATACCTTTGCCTCTCATCGAAACATCTCACGTTCCGCTATAGCGCATTTCTCAGAGACACCTACCTAAAGCACCGTCCTACTTACGTTCCGTGACGTAGAGGGGGAGAGAAAGGCCGGTATCATGATGTAGCCTAACTAGACATGAAGGTTATATGATATCAGGGAATTTTAGGTACAAGTCCTTTAAATAAAAATAAAAAAAGTAATGTCTTCTAAAACAACTTCAGTTGTGAACTTCTTAATGAAATGAAAGTTTTATAGCTGAGAATGTATTTAAATGCAATTAATTGACATGCAGTCTTTATGCTTAATGGAATTTGTTGAAATAAAAAAAAAATGTGCAAGTTGAAACATTTTGGTTTTGTCCATAGTGTTTTTTTTCTACAGTAGCTATTTTCATTTGTGCATGAGACTAAAGCCAGAATAACATGTAGGCTTCTTATCCAGGATCCACAAAAGATCAGCAAGTTGGAGGCACTGTTTCATGAACGCTGGAGCAAGAGCGCCCTCGTGTGGCAACTCAGAGGACTTTATAACTTCAACTCATTCAGAGAAAACTGTGAGCCAAAAATACAACCTATAACAAAGTAAACCGCCCAGAGCTGGCTCTGAAATCCTAATGAAGGGCAATGCCAAGGTATGTACTGTAATTACGTAAGTAAATAAGTGAGACTTAATGAGCAAGTGAGAGAGTGAGTTAATGAGCAAGTAACAAACTGCTTAATCCAAATCTCTGGACTTGTGGACTGACAGACTTCACACTTGAGGTTCTGTGACATAGAACTGCAGGAAAGTAGCAATGAAATAATGTTAAAATAAACAATCAATCAATCAATGTTGTGTAATAAGTACACAGTCATGGTGCATTAATTATGCTATGCTTACACTGAAAGAATGTTTGTTGTCCATCTTCGTTTGTTTGTCCATCTTTCTTTTTATCCCCCGGAGTTATTCCACAAGTAAATTCTAAGTCTGCATCAGAAGCAGATTCTCTTAAGTATACCTCCTGCAATTACCTCCCACCCTTATACAATTCAGATTAATGGCAAAATTACACGGAGCAGCAATATAACCCAGTGGATTTTATCAGTAACATGCAAGTTAAGACAACAAGTTTGCAAGAAATTTAGAGTGGATGAATAAATATACTTTTAGCAAAAAGGGTTCTATGTTATGTCACAAGGTTTAATGACTTGTGTCAATAGCAGAACCCTTTTTGGTGCTATATAGAACCATTTTTTAAAAGTTCTTTAAAGACCGATACACAACTGGTGTTCCATCATGTAGAAGAACCGTTTAACCATGCAAAGAACCATTTATTTAGAGCCATTATGAGTTGTCATGGTTCTATATATCCCAAGCAGACTCTCTGGAAGTTCACAAGTAGCGAGAAAGTGAGTGAACGAGTTACAGTACTGTGAAAAACTATTTTCCCCTTCTCAATTTCTGCTGTTTTTGCATATTTGTTAACTTGAATGTTTTAGATCATCAAACTACTTTTAATATTTAATATTACACAAGATAACCCAAGTAAACATAAGATGCTGTTTTTAAATTATGATTTCATCTATTGAAGGAAAAATGCTGTTCAGCCCTACCTTTTATAGGGCCCTATGTGAAAAAGCAACTGCCCCTTAGCTACTAAATAAACCAGTTAACCAAATTCAATTAACTATTGAGGTCAGTTTCACTATCCACACCCAGGCATGATTACTGCTAGACCTGTAGGATCTAAACATAAATAGAACTGTCTGGCAATGTGGTTACAAAGCCATTGCTAAGGCTCTGAGTCTGGGTCATTATCCACAAATGGAGAAAACCTGTAACAGTGGTGAACCTTCCTAGGAGTGGCTGGCCTAGAAAAATTTCACCAAGATTGCACTGATGACACAGCCAGGAGGTCACAAAAAACATAGACAAACATCTAAAGAATGATCAATTTTCTCTGTTATGGTCAATGTGCACTATTCCACAGTAAAATAATGTGCAAAAATGGCATGCATGGAAGAAAACCACTGCTGACCAAGAAGAACACAAAGGCTTGTCTTGCATTTGCCAAAAAACACCTACACAACCCCCAAGACTTTTGGGATAATATTCTGTGGACTGATGGGTCAAAGGTGGAACTTTTTGGAAGATGCTGAGATGCTGTTGCAAGATCTTAAATGAGCAGTTCATGCCAAAAACCCTTCAATGTAGCCAAACTTTAAAAAAATTCTGCAAAGAAGAGTGAGTCAAAATTCCTCCACCATGATGTAAAAGAATCATTGCAAGTTATAGCAAACGTTTGATTGTAGTTGTTACTGCCAAGAGTGGCACAACCAGTTATTAGGTTTATATGGGTGATATGTTTTGAATAAATCTTTTTCTTCAATAAATGGAATGATCATTTAAAAGCTGCATTTTGTGTTTACTTGTGTTGTCTTTATCTTCTATTAAAATTAGTTAGGTGATCTGAAACATTGAAATATGACAAATCAGCAATTATAGAAGAAATCAGGTGAGGGGCAAATACTTTTTCACAGCACTGTAGTAGGCTAAGTGTGTGTGATTAAGTAAATAATATACTTTTAGTAAAGATGGCTCTTTGCAGTACCAAAAAAGGTTCTATGACTTGTAACAACAGCAGAATCCTTTTGGTGCTATTTAGAATCATTTTGCATCATTTCAATCATAGAATCATTTACCCATCCAAAGAACTGTTTATGTAATCAAATAGTTCTTTGAGTTAATATGGTTCGATAGACCGTTGAATGCAAAAGTTTGAACACCCCCAATCAAATGACATATTTTGTGGATTTTCAAAGTAAGTTAACATCCCTCTGAGGATGTGTTGACTTCTTTTCACTTACAAAACCAATCAAATGTGTCATTTGAACGGGGTACCCAAACTTTTACATATTACTGCATCAACATTTCCTTTACTAAAGAACGCTTGAAGAACATTTTTAACATTTTTGTTTACATTTTTAATAATTATGTTTTTATTTATATAGCAAGAAGCTTGAACAGCTCACTGTGAATATGAATATGAATATGAAACTCACATTTGTCAGTTCTTGCAGTTCTAAAATTTTAAGAATGACATGATATTTGAAAGAATTGGTTCTTTAAGGGTTCTTAAATGATTAAACAGTTCTTCTCTATTTTGGAGAAACTGTTGGACATGGATCTTTGAAGAACCTTCTAAAAGCTGCATCTATATACACCAAAAGAAAAAAACATACTGCACTCATTCATTCTTTCTTTGATGTGATGAAAAAACAAAACATCAACACTGACACATAACCACCCATTCTAACTACAGCAGTTCAGCTCCGAAGTGTTCACATTGAAGTTGTAAGCAGTGTTCGCTTTTTAAACGAGGCAGCATACAGCCAATCAGAGCAGGGCTCATTTACATAAATCAGTCTTAAAAGCACAGTAACAAAAACAGCCTGTTTACTTCTAAAGGAATAAAGGTTGGAAAACGTAAACATGAATTATGACTGTTTTTTGGTACATAAAACCACACAAATGTTATAAGTGGATCTCAGAAAAATGTAGGTCTCGTGCCCTTTAAGATTTATTGTAACAATCTAAAAGTAAGAAATATTGTATATTATACTGGGGCCTCAGCTAATTTAAAAACGTGAATCCAGGGGCTTCATTCCAGTCTTTTGCCGAGAATCACCACTTCCGGCTCTGCTCGTAATCAAGCTTTAAATCAGAGCTCTAATTCTGCAGCGATGAAGGCGCGGAGTCTCGCGGCGCGCGCTCGTACCTGTAATCATTCTAATTGGCCTCGAGAGGATGCTGCGCTGCGGTCAGCTGGAGACGGGCTGGAGGGGGCGGGGCACCTGTCAGTCAAACGCGCCTTCATAAACCCGCGCGGGACGCGCGCCGCTGCAAGTGAGTGAGTGTGTGTGGAGGAGCGCGTGGGGTCTCGGGTTTTCGGTTTCCTGAGCAGAGCGCGCGCCTCCGCCAGCACTACGCAAGTGTCTCGCGCGTCTGTGTCTTTCTCCGTTGTTTTTGTTTTCTGTCGCAAGTCTGTCCGCGGACATGGACGCGTCACCGGGAGCGAGCGCGAACACGAGCGCGGGAAACGGCACAGTGGACAGGAGATCGGTGCTCGCGCGCGGCGCCTACCAACACCTGGAGACCGGCGAGCTGAGAGTGCTCGTGCCCGCGGTGCTGGCCGTTATCTGCGTGCTGGGCTTCGCCGCCAACGTCACGGCCATGGGGGTCCTGATCAGCAACGCGCGCAAATCCAAGCTCTCCCTGATCAACGCGCTCCTCCTCAACCTCATGCTGGCCGACGGGCTCCTGCTGGCATTCGCCGTGCCGTTCAAGGCCGCTGCGTACTCGCGCGCCGGCTGGACCCTGGGCCTGCTGGTGTGCAAGACGTGCGACTGGTTCGTGCACGCGTGCATGGCCGCCAAGAGCTTCACCGTGGCCGTGCTGGCCAAGGCGTGCCACAGGTACGCGAGCAACCCCGCCAAGCAGGTCAGCATCCGCCTCAAGACCATCGCGGTGCTGCTGCTGGCCGTCTGGCTGCTGGCCTGCGCGCTGCCCGTCCCGCACTGGCTCTTCGCCGCGCTCCAGGAGGAAGGCGACGGCCTGGCGTGCGTCCAGCTGGTTCCCCCCGAAGCCCGCGGCTTTGCGTCCGGCTACGCCAAGGCGTACCCGCTGCTGGCTTTCTGCGCCCCGCTCGCCTTCGCCCTCCTCTACTTCTGGAGGGCGCACGGGCGCTGCCGGCGGCGCTGCAGCAACAAGGCGCAGAACCTACGCGCGCAGATCCGCTCGCGCAGGCTCACGCTCACGCTCTTCGGCCTCACCATGGCCACGGCGGCCATGTGGCTGCCGCACTGGGTGTGGTGGGTGTGGACGCGACACGGCCTGGACAGCGGAGGCCCACTCCCGCCCGCGTCTTTCGCCCTGTGCGCGCAGCTGCTCATGTTCGCCATTTCGCTCGTGAACCCGCTTATCGTGCTTGCGCTGTCCGAGGAGTTCCGCGAGAGCTACAAGGGCCTGTGGCGTCGGCTCACGCTCCGCAAACAGCAGCCCAAGCAGCAGCAGCCCAAACCGGGACCGCACGCGCCCACTGCCCCAAAGTCGCCCACCCCAAGGCCCGAGACTTCTGCCCACCTGCCGCCTCCCAGCAGGCCAGGCCGAGGAGCCGAGGAGCCCGAGAAGGAGAAAAACCAGCAGCAGCAGCAGCAGCAGCAACAGGAGCAGGAGAAAAAAGAGAAGGAGAGTCCTGGAAATAAAGAAAGCGTAGTGCTGCCAGATGTGGAGCAATTCTGGCACGAGCGCGAGAGCGGGTCCCTCACGCTGGAGAACGACCCCACCCCCTGGGAGCACCAGGACCCCAAAGAGAGAAAGCAATAAAGTGACTCGTCTCCAAGCAAGACTCACCTTTCTCACTTTGTGGAAGCAGAAGGAATCATCCATCAGCAGCTACAAAGAGACCCCATTACACACTTAAAAGGATGGTTCTCAAAGGTTTTTTAGTAAAGGCAATGGATCTGTTTGGAACCATGATTTGAAGAACCATTTCACTAAATGGTTCTTTGCATGGTGAGATGGTCCTTCAGATTTTTGGAGAATGTGTTGTGAATGATTCTGTACAGCAACGAAAAGGGTTCTGCAGGTCAATCTTGAGAGAGAGTTCAAGCTTGACATCATAACTATAGCAGAACCCTTTTTGATGCTATATAGAACCATATACAAGATATCCTCCATTAATCTTAAGATTAAAGCATGATATTGTTCTCCATAGAACTCATGGTTCTAAATAGAAGCATTGCCTTTACTAAAGAACCCTTGAAAAACCCATCATTTTCAAGTGTATAGAACTGAACTCTGTCTCTATTCACAAGAGCAAATCAAACCAGTGCCATTCGTGGGCCGTATTTATTCATTCATGTTGTTATTTATTGTTTGAAATGACGTAAGCTGCTTTGATATTGGCTAGGAGTGCTCGTATAGAACCATGTTTAAAGTGTTATATTTCCAAATACATGTTATATAGAAAAATTATGTTCCCAAATAATCTATATTTTATGTGCACTTGATATTAAAAGCCTGTAAATAGCCATTTCTGGTCAGGAATGTTGACTTAGGAAATAGCAGTCAAATACAGTCATATGCAAATGCTTGGGCACTGCTGGACAAATTACATTTTGTTGATTTTGTTGCTTTGTGGATGTGCTTTAAGTGCAACATACAAATAATCTGTTAAATTTGACAAACTTGACCAGTAGGGTTCAAACGTCTGCATACAACTGTATTTCCATTCCCTGTATATTGCTCCTTTCAATCACATAGAGGTTTGTAAAAAATATCCGCACATACTCAGATGTAAAATATGAGAGAAAATGTTTTGTAAATGCACTTGTTCTAAATAAATTTCATTATGTTCCCTATGCGTAATCTGATGCTGGTATCTTCCGTCAGTACGCTGTTTTGCTGCACACTGAGGTGGAAATCCTAACAGGCTGAAATGTTAACAATAAGAAACACGCCTCATTGAATATGTAAAAATGTAGGTTGCCTTTATTCCAGTCAACTTGTACAGAAATACAGCAACTCCAAAAAAGTTGTCATCTTTTCAAAAACATCAGAACAATTAAATTAAACCTTACTATGAGCTGACTGTCAACCGTCACTGCTTGCACAGACCAACATCACATACGGTTAATGACTTAATGGATACATACCTGTGCATTATTTTAAAAAATATTTTACATTTGAACGGAGTTGTCAATTAAAATGACAGACGCATGGCGGGGCTTCAGTAGCTGAACACCCCATTGGATGACCACAGTCACCAGAGATGAAAACGAAACTGGGGATCCTCCCAATTTCAACAGAAACATTTGTACAAAAGTTAAATCAAGAGAGCGTGACAATTAGAGGCAGGGACAACAAGGACCACGATGAAGCCACAGGTAGCCAAAGAGAGGAAACGGAGGAACAGGATGGAATAGATGAGGGGGCTTCAGGTGGTCATGGTTCCTGTGCCAAACCCACAACTGGGCTTTCTCTCTGGCACACCACAAATACAGCTGTCCCTTCTGTGCTAACGCTCACTTTCACCGTGCTAGAGGGATCAGGTGGGCTTGATTGGGTGTGGAACCAATCCCTGCTAACACTGTCACTCTTTAACCGGTTTTGACATTTGTTCTCAGCAGCCACTCAGACCATGACGAAATGTCATCCACATGTCTGCTTCCACTTGTCATTCAGTCCTTCATTCAGATGTGAAAGAGATGAGGATGGTATCAAAAACTAGGTTAAGAATCAGCGTCATGGAACACTGTAAAAGTTCAGGTTTCAGACCAAGCTTGAGAAATGGACGGCAGTGTGAAGGTTGCTGGTAGAAAGAGCTGAAGTTCTGGCAGATGTATTTGTGAATGGATCACTTAGCGGAGCGTCGAGCAGGCTCAAAGGCAGTGGGAGGTGGAGGGGGTCCTCTGCGGTCCAGCTCTTCTACGTATGCCATGATGAGTTTATGTCTTTCTTCTGGCACACAGTCCAGCACCAGATAGCGTTTATCATTTTGTAGGATCTTCTCTATGTCTGTCAGGTGTTGCTCAGACTCCTGTATCAATTTACGAGATCTGGAAAAAGAGCAGATTGAGACCATTTAGAGTACTGTGTAAAAATCAAGTCAAGATAGTCATTTAGTAAAATGTTATTAATTTGACAATATTTGGAATATTTCTGAGGAGACTGCATATAAGATCATCCACTTGGATAAGGAAAACGAAAGCAAGTGAAAAAAACAGGATTTTCCAAAACTGGAGTTCAAAAAAATTATTAAAAGATATAAATAAAATGGAATTCCTAACAACCACGCAAGACCTGGTAGACCAACAAAACGGTCACCATCAGATAAACAGTACTTAAAGCTTTCATCTTTGAAAGAGAGGAGAAAATCCACATGGGTTTCTGTCCATCGTTATACTGTGAGAGGACAATTCAATGCTATGGGTCAATGGGGAAAAAAGGAAGTAGACAAAAAAGAAGCTGCTGGTGTTCTCAGAACAAGGGACTGACCACCACCCCAGAGTCCAGACCTCATCACTGAATGTGTTTGGGTTTAATTGGTTTGTGAAGACCAGAAAATGCAACCAGCTTCTAAGACTGAACTTAGGAGGTGTGGAAAAATATTCCTGAAGATTTCTTTGAAAAACCGAAAGCACGTCTCCTAAAATGAATGGGGGGCTGTAATAAAAGCAAAGGGTGCACAAAAACAGTGAAAATTATTAAATCATATTTAGTTGTTCAGGCTTCTGCGCAAAATTCTGTTAAATAAACTTTTTCCTAATCCTGAAAAAGTGAAAAATTTGTTAATGGTCGTGTTGACTGGAAATGAAATATATGAAGGTTGGTCTCTGACCTTTGCACACTACACTGCTAAAACACTGCAAAGCCTTATTTAACATAATATTATGTTCAACATAATCAAACAGGAAAATGCATATGAGACATGCAGTAAGTCAGGACATGGTCAATTAGGGACGCTTACTTGTAAGTGACGAACTTTGTCTCTTTCAGCAGAGTTCTGAAGTCTGCTTTAGCTGTGATGTGTTTGTCTTTGATGTAGTCCTCAAACTCCCTCTGTTTTTTCTGTGAGAAAATGCAGAACAGGTTTCTGACTAGGTTTAGCAGGCACAAGACACACAACAACAATCCTAGTGACTACTAATATAATGCATAACATAATTACTGTCCCTACCCGATCACTGCTAGAAAACTTTAGACATCTTGGATCATCTTTGATGCTCTTTTTAACCTCCTTCCATGTCGATGTCAATGTGACCTGTTAAAAAGAAACAACAAAGTCAGTCAAGCCATTATATACAGAGTACAATCATAAATTTGAGCACTTGTAAATATAAAATGTCTCAAAAAAGAGAACAGATAATTGCTGTCATACAATAGCTGTCTCGTCTAAAAGTTGCCGGAACAGCTCTTTCTTCTTCTTGGTCAGTGCCTCGATGTGCTCATTGAAGAGCCTCTCCTTCTCCTCCCGCTCTAGCAGTGAGGAAGTCTCCCAGCGGTGGTCCTTCCTCAGAGAGCGGCGTGTCTCAGACCAGGTGGCGTCTGATGACCTCACCTGTCGTTCAGAAACATGGCAGATGAAGCAATCTCAAACAGCTGCACATATGTATGAGTGACTGCTCACAGATGGTATTTGCTGGCTATACAAGCATGTGGGGTTAATAGGATCACAACCATCATGACTTTCCTCTGTCTCAGAATTAAATGTTTTGGGGAAATGTACTATGTATTCAAAGTGCCCTTAAAAGGGGCATTCCAGCCAAAATTAAAAATTTAACCACTGCTACACCTGTTGTAAACATGCCTACAGTGGTGCCCCAGTAGTCTCCTAGGATTGTCTGGTTTAAAGGCTAGAATGACGGTGGGAGAAACTTTTACAAAACTACAAGAGCTACAAGGGCTTTGGAACAGGCATTTAAGGGCTAGCTGGCTAATGCAGATGGCTAACGTTACTGCTGAGAAACCAAATTTCACATGTGCAATAATTTGCCTCGCTAGCTGTCAGGATTTCTTAATGACAGTTTTTATTGCCAGTAGTTGTATGATGTATTTTATCATGCATGCTGGGTACTCAAGCGTGAGACCACTGATGGGCAAAAACAGAAAAACAATACAAAATTGTGAATTTTGACAAAGAATGCAAAACCAAAAACATCAAAAAACAAAATGACTATGGCTGGCTTGAATAATTTGAACACTAGAGTATTCAACTGTTCATCATTCATTTTGTTCACGCTTTCCATGCAGCCATTTAAGTTGAAAGACCAAAGGTGCCTAATAAATTATGGAAGCATGATATTATCAGATGATCAGAAAAATGCTCAGAAAAAGCAAAATGTGCAATAAGAGGCTGGTGTGCATCATCTCAAATATGTAAGTATAGCGGTACCTCTCTGAGTGCGGGCAACACAAAATCTGGGAAGCTCTGTGCCTTTAACCTGTGTTGTTGAGATTTCAGGCAGTAGACAAGGAGGGGGACATTGGTACTCCTGCTGTAGTCAGGCAGAAGAGTTTGGAGCAGGGGTGGAGTTAACTTTAACCACTTTATACAGTTGCGGACTGAGAGCTCAACTCTGCTACAACTGATTTCAACTCGGCCTGATTTAGGGGTCACCCTAAATCCTGCTTTCCATTCTGAAAAGCAACCAACTAGCCAAATGAAATAACTTGATAATATGTGTAAAAAAAACAAAACAAAAAAAAACCTAAAAACTAGAACAGCACCGAAAACAAATAAAACTATAATTTTAATTTGTTACATATTCAATATCCACATAAGTGACTAAATGATATACAAGCTAGAGAATCTGTGATGGAGC